AACTACACTTTTATATTATGGCGCCTATTGCTTTTAGGTTTTAGAATCTTCAGTCACATTTCCCTACCTCCTTCTAATATATGTATTACTGGATATTCTTAGAGGTCTTAATTAAATCTATTAAGAAGGAGTAAAAACTTCGTTAATTAAGGTAACGCTGAACTTTTTATAAGCTCATTATGAAGTGGGCATTAAAAATACCTGAAATCCCGACCATTTCTGCCGAGAGTATTTATTCATTAAGTAAAATGGAATATTAAAACAAACAATTATCTATGTAGGAAAACTTGAAAAGGACTTTCAAGATACTCAAAATAATTCGAAAACTTAAAACAACAAAATTTACCTATTTTAAAATTGTTTTGCAATATTTTATACTCTGAAACCATTAACAATAATTGTATGCAGATATTGTTTTTCGACATCGAAGAAACCTCAATGCGGAAAAGTGAACGTGACCTAATAACCCAATGTGAAAATTTCAACGCACTATGTTAAATATTTTATATCTATATCTACAGACATAATAATCTCGAATATATAAACTTTATGGAGTCTCCGACGAATATTTTGGAAAAATAAATTGAATACCACACAATGGAAATGGGTTTTGTATATAATATGGTGTAATTTTTCAAACATACGTTGGCCCTTTCCTTGCTGTGTTTTTCTAAGCGCTTGGATATATTAAACCTTTTCATTGAATGGTTAATGCCCCCTAAAATATGACCTAATTTCTTTAAATTATATTGACCACTTTTATGGTATATAAATACCAGAAAACCACCTCCTTCACAATTAAAACACTAGTGGCCAATATTCCCAGAAATAAACGCCTCCTCTTGTTGTCTATGCAATCTTTTACTATTTCATCAGCTGTTTGTTGTGTGGCTTTGTAATGGATTAATGCCACCTTGCAGTTGCAAGTCAACAACCGACCTAACTGACGACCAAAAAACAACAATTTTTGTGATGTATATTGCATAACCTGAAAGTCTGGATAGAGTAGTGGATAAATAGTAGTGGTAGTTAGAGTTTGTGTTTAGATGGTACTAACTTTTGGCGAAATGCAACTAACCAAACAAACAACCAGCCAGCCATTAATTCTTGTTGCCGGTTTCTCAACATCTTTTAAACCACCATGACCAGACTAGCATTCATTCATTTATAATCAGAGAGGCTTAGTAACTGGTAAAAAGTGTTAGTGTTACTCAAAGAGGACGATCACTGACGTCGTTGTCTACATCTTTTGCCAAAGAAAAATGCAAGTTGAGTACAAAATTTTCATTTCATTTGAAAATTCGCCTATCAGCACCACAGTTTGACTTACTTCAAGTTGGTCGCGTGAATGGCTAACAAATGACTGAATAAATGTTGGCTTTATGGTTGATATTTCTGGTTTCTCTTTTCATGCTTTTTCCGCTTAACGTCATCATCGGACACGGGGAGAGAGTATGCATGCAAACAGTTGTTTGATTAGTTTTTACTGCACTTAGCGAAATTCTGGTTTTTTGCTCATTCACAGGTGGGTCATTTGTTGATTTGAATATGTAACTCTTTTATAATAGATGATTTGAATAGGTAACTCTTTTATAATAGAAACCGCGTCAGCTATTAACAACTAATAAAAAAGCATCTTCAAAAAATGCATCTTTGAATCTGCCAAATATTTATGTATGCATATTTTTTTGCGTGTAACCATTATAGCTTTTAGGCCAAAAGAAATGAAAAGCCATTTGCCTGGTATTGCAACCAGCCACGCAATTGGGACACCAGGTTAAGTAAATAGCATAGTCTCACACACATAGATATAAGTGGGTAATATTTTATACGGTATTATATAATACGTTTGTTTATTTGTTTAGTTAATATGATTTTGATAATATCTAACGGCTGGCTTTGAGTTTTAAAACTTGCCGAAGTAGAGGTGATTAGGGAAATCACATCGGTTATATATCTAAATCTTAGTGATAAGAGACGGAGTGACTGACTGACAGATCATCGCCCAGACGAAACTGCTAAAGCCAGAAGCTTGAAATTTTAATTTACATTTTTTGGAAATTCGAACAAGAAGGGTGCAAAAAGTACTAAAATGTACTAAATATGGTATACTAGGCAAACGTGAAGAGCTAGAATTCTGATATTTAGAATGTGGGTCACTGATGAAAAGTTAGAAAGGGTTATGGAAAATTCGATTCGAAGTGTACGAGAACTACTAAACTGTACTAAATTTAGTTCTAATTATATAATATTGAGCGTATATAGCTAGAAGGGGTGTTTATGTATGGAAATGTTTTTAGAAATTCGTAGTTATGTGTATGAAAAGTACTACATGGTACTAAATCATCTGGTACTATTTGTATTTAATTGAGCGTATAATGAGGCGGAATTCTGAAAATAGGAATTAGGATTACTATTGGAATACAGGATTGAGGTAACTTTAAAAAATCGTACTTATTGGTATGAACAGTACTAAATTTAGTACACTTTAAATTTTGGGTGAACGGGTGGAATTTATGTTAACGTTGAAGAGTAGGCTATGGAGAGAGCTTTGGAATTTCGTAATTGGGTGTACGAAAGTACTAAACGGCAACAAATTTGGCAAAATTTACGTGTACTAAATAGTACTAACTTTGGTACAATTTGATTTTGTGTGGATTGAGGTAGTTTAGGAAATTTTTAATTATGGAATCAAAAGTACTAAATGTTTTTGGTACCAATTGTTACAATTTGTATTGGTGTGAACGGATAGGGCTGAAATCGTAAAATTCGGAGGATAGGATTGAGGCATGGAGGTAGTTTTGAAAATTCGTAATTGAAAGATTGGAGTGAACGGATAGAGATAGAAAACTTATATTTGTTAGAGTATAAGATAGATGTAGAAAAGAACTTAATGACACTAAATATGGTACAATTAGGATATATGTGAATGGTACGTACGAAAAATAATAACTGGCACTAAATATGGTACAATTTGGATGTATGTGAACGGTACGTACGAAAAGTACTAAATGACACTAAATATTGTACAATTTGGAACTATGTGATCGGAGAAACGGATAAATCCGGAAAATTTGTGATTAAAAGACGTACTTACGTCTACGAAATGTGATAAATGGTACTATATTTTGTACAACTTAAATGATGGTGAACTGATAGACCTGGAATCCTTAGATGTGGACTTATGATTATTATTGGAGTGCATGACTAAGGTAGTTTTGGAAATCCGTACTTATGGGTACGATTTGGACTTTGGGGAACTAGATTGAGATAGTATTGATATCTGGGGAGGATTGTGAAAATCGTCTACTAGAGTTTTTTTGCAAATAGAGAGCAGGACTTCTATGACAGAGGCATTATGAAGTTACCTTTAAAATGGCAACAAATCATACAACAAATCGTTTCATTCCGAAGCATGTTAAATAATGTATTATAGTTCATATAAAAATAATGGAATTCTGTTTTCCCCAACCTAACATTTTAAAACAGGATTGAGTTAGGTTTGGAAATTCGTACTTATGAGTACTAAATTTGGTACAAGTAGGATATTGGTGAACATAATGAGCTGGAATCTTGAAATTGGGAATTAAAATTACTGTTGGAGTGTGTATTGAGGTAGTTAATGAATTCGTACTTATGGGAACAAAATGCACTAAATGGTACCAAATATTCTACAATCGGTTTCTGGATGAACTGATAGGTCTGAAATTCTTAAATTTGGGATTAAAATTATTGTTTGAATGGTTGTATATTGACATATGGAGATAATTTTGACAATTCGTAATAATGGTAATAAACTTGATATTAGATGTAGGAATAAAGGTGGAATTCAGAATTATAGTACCACAAATTATAAAGTTTTCACGATTTCCATACTATTTGTAAGTTTTGTATTGTATTTTGCACACGAACTAGCGGGTACTTTGGTAGTATACATATAAAATTCATAATTCGATTTTAATAAAATCGTATATTTACAGATTGCTGGTCCATATATCCCCTACCATAATGAGGAGACCCCATACACAAAGTGTATATACAGTCGAAATCATCTATAATGTCAATGTGTTTAAAGACATATCGGCAGTATCCAAACGTACCGTGAAAAGCTCTGGTCTTAATTTGATATTGATATTATATATCGATAATTTCACAGGCCACTTTACCGTCGTTTCAAGCCATTTCGACTGAATTCCCAATTAGGATAAAATTCTATGACAGTCTGTTTGTTGGAATAATGATACTGCTTTCAATATTTAAGATAGATCGTAGAAATGTTGGATATAGATAACTACTACCCAAGGATGTTTGGTATTGGTCAACATTTTGGTAAAACCAACATATAAATATTCGGTATTTTAGTCACATTTTAACTGAACCAAAAAATTATCAATATTGGCCACAATTCCGGGTAAGCTTCCATAAAATTGTACCTCCATTTTTCGGTGTTTTCGGGAGTTTGGACACATTTATAAACATAAGATCAATATTTTTTTTTTTTGTAGAGCTTCATATAATAGAAGGTATAAAAAGTCCAGTTTATTTTCTACTCGCATGCAAATTTTACCTCCTGAAAATTGGGGAAAAAGTTTAAGAACTTTAAAAAATCATTCATTCTTTTTGACCCTTAAAGAGGTCTAGAGTTATCAGTCTCTCACTCTATCTGTCTTTACATACAAACTTATGCATTTGCTTTACATCTCACATACAATTGTTGTTTCACAATTTCCACCCGGTCACCGGAGTGTTAATATGTAAATTTGATGTACATATAATTGTCACAATAACCCATAAAATATAACTATCTATTGTCCAACCAATAACAATAGTAATAATATTATTAATAACCGCCATAACCATCATCATCACAGTGTCCAACAATGAAAAGACTATCTCTATTCACACTAGCAAAACCAAGAATGTCGCTTCTATATGCCATGCCTAGTGGCATGGAAAATATCGTGTGAGCAGTTAGATTTTTCTTCACTAAGACTACTTACCCAATAGAATCTCTACGGTGGCCTCACTCATATAATCGTGACAATCGAACGTTTTGCCACCCTCCGACTGAAGTTTACGGACCACATTGCGTGAATTTTCATTGAATAGATCAATGAAACTCTTCAGAACGTTCAAATGGAATGTGGGTGCAATCAACTTGCGGTGTGATCGCCATTTATGACCTGTGTGTTTAAATTAGAATAAAAAGTGTCAATTAATAATAGCAGCGATGATAACAAAGCGGAATAGATAGATATATTTTTTTTCTATTGTGTGTGTTATTAAATATTTTAGAAAAAAAAAACGTATTAAGGAATTTTTCTCATTTGAGGCTTTTTTGGTTTTTTATTAATAAAAAACGAAGAGAAAGCAAGAGAGGAGTTGGATAGAAATAGAGAGAGAGAGAAAGCTTGAACAAATTTAACTTTCCTAGGATATAATAATATAATAATTGAATAGTACAAATATATTCTGTATTGATTTAAACGTTGACTCACCTGTACTTATTAGCAGACCATCACCAAGCCATGGTTTAAAGAATTTATATTCTGATGCCTTGTCAATGTACACCTGACTGCTGAGTAGTATTTCAACATCTTTCGGATCATAAATGAATACCACAAGTTTAGGACCAATCCACATTTTACATACATAGGGAAATTCAGAACTTTTCCGAATGACCGTTCTGAAAACCGCTGAAATGAAGAAACAAAATAATAAATTAAGATATTATTTCGAAGGTACAATATTCATAATTTGGAATATGATACCTCACTGAATATATTTAATATTATTTTCTTATTTGTATTTCTAGAATGTTAAAAAGGTATCAACTTTCGTATATGCGTTTTTTCTGTATATAAAATATTATAATTATAATAGATATACCCTACATTCAAAATACCTAAAATCATTGAGAACCTTTCCGTTGCAACGCAATGGCATTTAACACCTAATGGTGGAATATCTGTTTGAGGAGCCATACAAGTTGTTATTGTTATTGCATGAATATTAAATTTTAAATCCAATATAAATTAAACATGTAGCAACTGGGGAGGACCTCATCGGAGTAACTTACTAAAATACAAAAATAAAGTATGATAACGAGAAACGTAACAATAATACCAAACAAATTATTTATGAAATTTAAAATGTTAAATAGTTTTTAAGGTCTTTTACCCTGCCACCTATGTAAAACAATTGTTCTAGCTTTAACATGCAGAACATAAAATTTGTAAACAATTTTATTGCATACATATCAGTTCTTTTAAATTTCTGTTAAGAGAAGAACGTCTATTATCAGCAATGACGGAAAAAATTCTAAGACCAATATTTGAATTATTTAATATTTTTATAAGCAACGCAATTTGTCAACAAGTCATATCTTAAAGAAATGCACGCATTCTTTAAAAAAAATTATTTAAAAATTTCAAAAAAAAAAAATACATTTAAGTAGTGTTGCCAATTTAGCACTTTTAGTGCTAGAATTAGCACTATTTAATCTCGTTTAGCACCAATAAAAGTGATCTTAGCACCTATCACTTATTTAGCATTTTTAATTTGCTACAGAATTTTTTTAAAATGTTTATTATCATACCCAAAACAATTGTCGGTTTTCTAGTTCACATTGAAGTTTTCGTATGTTTCATACGATGAGTTTGATTTTCCAATGTTTAACCTTATGCAAGTAATTGTCTTGTCTGTGAGACATCCACCTCCTGGTGTTGTAATAATACTACTAAACAATATCAAAAACCAGTGAGCGGAGCAGTATAGTCGGACGGGGCCGACCATACGATACCCTACACAACTACCACGAACTCTAACTTTCTGAGGATGTTTATTCCGAGTCTGAGTAATATTTCGTGATATTTGCCCCCTCTTGTCCGATTAGAGGTTAACAACACCTCTTCCTTACTATTTTCGAATATTCAGTACAGTCCTTCTAATTACTTGTCCAGATTACCTTCACGGTGGGTTGTGTTGTGATTTTTGGATTATACTCTACTCGAAAACACACAAAAAATTATATTCTCCGTCCATTTCATCCCAAAGTTTTAATCTGATCATCACCGAAAATTATAGGCGTTGTTCTTGACCATAACTGGAACCTCATGAACAATTTCAAAGCCATCAGCGCGATATTTCTCCCTCTAATGTGGTAATGGGTTACTAAATAATATCTGAATACGTAAGCACCTGTAAATATTTGACTGTAACTCCCACATCTGAGTAGATACATCACTATATTTGGTATCAATTTAAAGGCCAACCACTCCTCTTGGATATGCTATCAACTCCTGGGGTCTACATCCTCCAGGAGTAAATATATATGCCATAGAATACAAATTTTGTCATTTTTCACACAAAAGTGAGGGTCCATTTGACCCGCTAAATATTGACCGATCTTTATCAAAACATGCATGCTTATTCTCTGGCCCGATCCCCTTCACCATGCAAAAATTCGCGGTGTTTGGGCCATAATTGCGGCCTCTGGAGCGACCAGAAAAACCGACAAAAATTTAGTATTTGGTCCATTTCATCCCCTAAATATTAACCGATCTTTTCCAAAAGCAATAGGGGTCTTCATTGGCCAGAACCCATCCTACATGCAAAATTTCGTGAAGTTTGGTCCATAACTGTGGCCTGTATCGTGTTTACAAATTATAATGGACAGACGGACGGACGGACGGACGGACGGACGGACACACATGTCTAGATCGACTCAGCTAGTCGAGATATGACGATCGGTATACTTAAAGGTGGGTCTAGGACCAATATTTCGCGGCGTTACAAACATTTGGGGCTGCACAAAGCTATAATACCCTGACAACATAGTTGTGTAGGGTATAAATATAAAAACCCTGTGAACAATTTAGTTTAATTCCCATATCCGTGTCGTATAATCAATATAATTCAAATAAACGCAAGGGTCATCTATATTTCTCTTGGCAATAAAAATGGCCGTGGAATGTGTCAGTTAGTGTTGCCGACAGATATATACCATCAGCCATGATGCAATAATAAGGTGATGTATCAAAACAAAAACCTATGTCTATTTGTCTCGACCCTATGTCAACATTTTCCTTATAATATTTCACATGGTTGGCAACATTGCACATCGAATTCAAGTAGAAATTACCCACTTTGACAGTTAATCGAGTCATCAGCTGCGCTAAATGGACCGATTTTCTCTAAACTTAACACACATCATTCTAGAACTAATTCGTTACGCTGTGCTAAATTTCGTGCAAATCGAATGATATATAGGGACTTTGGTGCACCATTAACTTTAAATCGGAAGAAAATATATGGGAGCTATATCCAAATCTGAACCGATTTTCAGGAAACTTAACACACATCATTCTACACCTAATTCATTAATCTTTGCCAAATTTCATGCAAATCGAAGGATATATCGGGACTTTGGTGCACCATTTACATGAAATCGGACAAAAATATATATGGAAGCTATATCTAAATCTGGACCGATTTTCAGGAAAATTAACACACATCATTCTAGACCTAAATCATTAGGCTGTACCAAATTTCGTGCAAATCGAAAGATATATAGGGAAATCGGACAAATATATATATATATATATATATGGGAGCTATATCTAAATCTTAACCGATTTTTCCCAATTTTAATAGGATTCGTCCTTGGGCCAAATAACTGACCTATGCCAAATTTCATCCAATTCGGATCATAAATGCGACCTGTAATTTGTTTACAATTTAACATGGACAGACAGACGGACGGGCATGCATAAATCGACTTAGAAAGTGATTCTATGCATATTCTCAATAGGAACCATGTGTCTATCTCGTTTCCTTTTGCCTGTTACAAACATATGTACAAAGACATAATACCCTGTACCACAGTGTGGTGAAGGGTATAAAAAAGAATCAATTGAGGTCTTCAAATACACATAAGCTAGGTTGGAAGACCTCAAAATAATATATCTTCATTTACCAGCAGGTTAAAAACCGGTTTGGGCTTTCAAAATACCTATAATCGAGACACTTTATTATAACAGGAGATGGAAATTTCTTTATGGGGATGAAATACCTATGCGAGCTATGATGTAATAAATATGTTCTAGTACATCTAATTTTCACGAAAAAGGTTTTCTTTACGGATATGGTAGGTTATTTGACATCGCATGTTTTACTTAAACTTACTTACTTATTTATTGTAAAACATATCCTTTTCCTATCTAGGTGTATATTTTTCGTCCTTATTTTCTTGAATTGTAATTAAAATACAGAAATGTGAGATATTTTGGCACCTCAAATATTTTACAAAAATGTAGACCCTTAAACCTATCAGTATCGAAACAGTGTTTTTCGAATGGCGGGCATGATTCCTAATTTTAACACGTTGCATTATTGCAATGCGTTATTTTGCCAATAAGCTATTTGTAATAAAATTTCAGAGTTTTTAACGAAATCAGAGATTGTCCCTCAGACGTATGCGTGTATTTTTAAAGCATATTTTTTTAAGCAACATAAGAGTCGTGGATTTTTTAACGAATATTTGTTCAGAGGCCTTCCTTTGCTAAAACAATTTTTTTACGTCTAACAAGTGGCGTGAATTGTTTTAAGAATATTTTTGGGGCATACATAATGTGTGGATTTTGTAAGGATTTTTTTAAGGGTTAAGGGATTTTTTTAAATAATATTTTTCAGGGCTTGCAGGAGGCCTGGATTTTTAAATAAAAATATTTTTTCAGTCCTTGCAAAAGGCGGGGATTAAGAAATATTTTTCAGGGCTTGCAAAAGGCGTGGATTAAAAAAAAAACAAAACAAGAGGCGTGGATTTTTAAATAAAACCATTTTTTACAAGGCTTGCAAGAGGCGTGGATTTTTAAATAAAACCATTTTTTACAAGGCTTGCAAGAGGCGTGGATGTTTTAAAAAATATTTTTTTATACAAGGCCTGCAAGAGGCGTGGATGTTTTAAAAAATATTTTATTACAAGGCTTGCAAGAGGCGTGGATATTTTAAAAATATTTTATTACAAGGCTTGCAAGAGGCGTGGATATTTTAAAAATATTTTTTCAGGGTTTGCAAGAGGCGTGGATTTTATAAAAAAAATACTTTTTCAGGGTTTGCAAGAGGCGTGGATTTTATAAAAAATATATTTTTTCAGGGTTTGCAGGGTTATAAGAGTCAAAAACTTTAGATTTTCAACAAAAGTGTTATTTCCAGTAGTCAATATGAAAATTTCTTACTAAAAAACCATATCAAATTTCCATTTTATTTCTTAAAGAAGTTTAAATATGTATTTCGGCTTTACTAAAGAATAGTAAGAAATATGTAAAAATATTATATATTCTTCAAAATAACTGTATACGGTGAAAATATAAACGACGTTTACTACATTTATTGCATTTAATACAGGTAAATGACGTTTTCGACGTTTACACTTTTTTGACAGACGAAAACTTATAAATTCGTCACGTGGATCATGCCTGTATGACATAGAATTGAGTTTTTTTTTCAAATTCCACATACGTCAAAATCAAAAGTATTTGTCTATGGTTTGGATCCGCAGTCTTACTTTTTCCATTTTGTATCCAATTGGGGAATGGCAACAAATACTATACAACTATGTTTTCTACAGCAAAATGTAAAAAATACGAAACACATTTTTGGATCCTTGATATTTGTCTCGTGGTTACTCAATCGAATGTTGTTTTGCATTAATAAAATCTCACAAAAGAAACTATTCACCAAGAAAAAAAAAATATTCAAAAATTCAATTCATAAAAACATTTCCATAGCATGATTTCGATACTTTGCAGCACCTTTCGTTTCACTCTAATATGTTTCATAATGTTTTCAATCCACACAATTTACACACCCATTTGCTTCTTGTGTTTTAAAATTTCAGTTATGTATTATTTGGTTTTAAATATAATTTTTTAATATTTCGTAATTTTGTTATATTTCTTATTACACACAAAATAACACATACATGATGCGGGTCCAACGACATCGAATAAATGCCCAACAATGGGTAATCCTTTGGGTCCTGGCAATTTCTCAGCCAATTCGTACAGATGGCGACGTGATAGACGCCAATAGGTAAACCATAGCGTCAGCAGCGGCAACAGCAAAAAACAAAAGACGCTTGCGGGTGATATCAGTTGTGGGTCTTTGAGCACTTCCAGAGTCATTTTGGTTGTCTAATTTCTGACAATGGCCTCGAGAAGCGTTTCCGTTTTATTTTCTTGTATTTTTTGCTTTTCTTCAATTAAACATTTACTTTGCAATGAATTAGACGAAAGAAAAAAAAACACAAACAACTATGAAAAGGAAGCGTAATTTGTCGCTGTTTTGTCCACTTATTTAGTTTAGATTTAAGTTTAGTTCATTCATTAAAGCGAACAATTAAGTAAAATTTATCAACCGAGCAGACACATTTTTTTCGTCAAAAAATCTTATTTTTTCACTGGCTTTTTGTGTCCGCTTTGTATTATGTGGTCGATTGGTTGGTTTGTGTGGGGGTATATCTGGATTTTCTGTTTGTTATTCGTTTCGAAATGTTACTCCCGCAACCGTCGTCCGAGTTAAGTTAGAAAAGCGCGTCCGCGTATAACTGTGAATTGTGCCACAAAGTGTAGCTTACTTTTATAGCTTGCGCTTGGCCTAAGTTACCTAGTAGTCCCGGGTTCGTTTTCCATTCTGCTTTCAGGTTGCTTCGATTCCTCCATACACATTTACTTATTTTTAAAATGTGCCATACAGGCACACAACAACAATTCGCAATCATCATCGTGTGGCAATCGGGTTTTAAAAACGCATTGCACAATGGGAATGAGTAATAATAAATATATGTGTTTTATACAAATTCGGAATAGCTTGTATTTAATAAAGTCAAATTCGGCAAATATTCTGGAATGTCAAAAGAAAAATATGTATTACATTTCTGGTTTAAATTTTAGAGACCATTTGTTATTAATACCCATACGTTCGATTGCTGATTTTTTTCGAGCTTCAGATTCGTCACCAATTGACAAGCGACTTTTTTGAACGTTTTTTTTGTTCATACTTCACGATCATTCAATTTTTTTTTTTTTTTTTTTTTTGAAAATTATTTTTCACTTCGTCGTCGTCAAACCGTCTAAGTAGGTTTATCCTAAAAACGTCAAACTTTCAGATGGATCATGGCAACAAGTAAAATTTAGGAATAATTTTAAAAATTAAAAATGTTTTATATCAAAAGATTTAGCATTTGTTAGTAAATTTCAAAATTGAAAATATATTTTAAACATTTTTAATAACAACTGTCCAAAAATATATATTTTAATATTAGATTTTTTTTAATTCTTCTATTTTTTTTGTTTTTAGGAGGAAATTCTAATAAAGCTTCTTCGTTTGCAGGTTAGTAAATTAATAGCGAAAAATTTTATTATAATCAGTTACTTCCATGTTGACATATTTGCATTTAAAGTTATATTGAGTACGAATTGCAATAACTCGAAATATTCACCGAGGAACCATAAAGTATTTATATACATTCTTGGTTACAATAAAGTAATATGTCGTTTTAAGTATGTCTGTCAAACTCACGTAGTGCTCGCAATATTAAAGATATAGCTTTGAAACTGCGTATTGAAATGGGATATATCAGTGGACGTGATGTCCTTCAAAAATAAAAAAAGACAATTTTATACATAGGTCTTTAAACCCTCCATGTAAATGTTTTAGCCGATTTGTGTATTTTAAGGATTTCGAAGCATTATCTCACCGAAGTGGCTGTAATTTGAAAAAAAAAATGTTTACCCAAAAATCGACGATTTAGATACCATTTAGTACCTTTGTTCTCTTATAGTACGTTTTTCCAAAACTACCTCATATCTCAACTCTATACTAAATTTGGTACCATTTTGTACTCTTGTAGTACCAAATTTTGTACATATTAATATAAAGTTGCATACTTACCTACCTTGAATTTGGGATTCCAGTTCACCCAAATTTAAATTTAGTACACATTAGTACGCACTTCTAATACATCCTACACCCCAATAGCGATCCTAACTTCAAATTCAGGATTCCAGTTCCATCGGTCTACCCCAAATTCAAATTGTACAAAATTTAGTACACATATGTTCGAATTTCCAAAACTACCTACATCATACAACCAATAGAATTATTTTTCAATTTAAGGATTCCAGTACACATTAACAGGAATTTCCAAAACTTCCTACATCTCCTAATCCTACACCCTAACAGTGATCCTATCTCCAAATTTCAGGATTCCAGCTCTATCGGTTAAGCCAAAATTCAAATTGTAGCAATAGAATTCTTATTTCCCGACTTCAGATTCCAGGCCTATTTAGTACACGAATTCCCAAAACTTCCTACATACTCTAATACTACAATCCAAATTTTAAAGTTCTAGTTCTACCAGTTCGCCAAATACAAATCATACCATATTTAATACTTTTCGTGCCGTTCTAGTAGGGGAGACTGGGGCACCTTCGGCAATCGCGTTTTCGATATGAAGCTCTCGCCGTACATCACTAGTTTCGATACATAGGTATCGAATATCGAAATAAATAACTGACACAAAGTTTGAAATTTCTAGCTAATAAGCTTATTTAGCTACATAGTTTTTTGTATTTTTGTAGATGTTGCTGTAATATTTCAATTCCATTTCGTAAGTATTTCGTGATAAAACTTTTAAAATGTTTAAGACAATATTATTATAAAGTGGTTAACTACGATGTGTATTATTATAAACATATTTAAAAATATAACGTTTTTACAAATCTGATCGAAAAAATGAAAAAACTATAAAAAGTACATTCGGCATTTTAAAGTGGGGCACATTCGGCCATATACAGATTGTGCAATATTATTTCCTTAAAATGTTTTTGAGTTTGTCTTTAAAACTTATCCTTTAATATGGCTCGAAATTGCATATATAAGATCAAACGTGCTTGTTTTGACGAAAATGCGGTAGAAAACCCCTATTTCTCATAGATTGTGCGACCTTGAGATGTAAACGTCCGCCGATAGAAAATAAAGCCCTATAATTCAAACATTGTGTGGCGTATTAAAACCAAATAGAGCCTTTAGAGGATCAGAATTTCAACCAGACTGATAGCGATGACAATTACCAGGCTATGACTATGGTGCCGAATGTGCCCCATCAAATGCCGAAGCTACCCCGGGTTGGGGCACATTCGGCGAATTTGACTTTTTTTACAAAACAGTAAAATTTTTTAACTAATACCATTTTTTTATATCTTTTTGGTACTATTTTTTATAATTAACAGCCTGTTTTTGTAAAATTCCAAACGAACGAATTCGAGTGACTTACGACCAAACCTTTATTTATGTTCATAAAGGTTTTCTGATTCAAAACAAAAATAAATGACATATTTTTCAAAACCAAGGAGTTTGGTTGTAAGTCACTCGAATTCGTTCGTTTGGAATTTTACAAAAACAGGCTGTAAGTGTCAGAGGACAATAATCAGCCATAAAGTTGTTATATATGTTGAATAAGTACTGAGATATAGAGCTCTAAAAAAGTGCCGAAGGTGCCCTAGTCTCCCCTACACATTTACAAAAATCCAGGCTTATCTGACACCTTTGGAGTAACGTGTCACCCATATTTAAAGATTCTAGCTTCAGCCGTTTCGTCTGGTCGTTGATGAATAACTTTATTCTTTTATTTGTATAGTTGATCCTTTGTGGGTGAGGTACCAAAAGGAGAAGACCGACGGGTCCCACCTTCGACTTGGTAAAGATAATAGGTTGTGCAAAGTTTGGTTCAAATCGGACGTTCAATTCGCCTGCTTTTGGATTTATAAATACTGAAAATGTTGACAATTTCTGGGAGAGGTACTAAAGAGATTGGACCAATGGTTCCCATCCTTGGACTTGATCTATGTTTGGTAAAGATACTAGACTGAGCAAAATTTTATTAAAATCGGACATTACATTCGCCAAATATTGGATTTGTAAATATTGAGAATGTTGATCATCTGTATGGGAGGTACCAGAAGAGGTGGACCAATGGTTCCCAGCTTTGGGCTTGATCTAAGCTTGTTAAAGATAGGTTCAAATCGGACATTGCATTCGTCTAATATTAGATTTGTAAATATTGAAAATGTTTACCATCTGTGTCAGAAGGTACCAGAAGGAGTAGACCAATGGGTCCCATCTTTGGATTATATCAAGGCTGGGTAAAAATAATAGGTTGTGCAAAGTATGGTTCAAATCGAATAGTCCGTTCGTATGATATTATAACATTGATTTATAGCGCAATTTTGACCATTTTGTGTTTTGAGGTACCAGAAGGAGTGGACTGATATTCCCCATCTTCGATTTGAAGCTAAGTTTGGAACAAATATTTCGATGTTTGAATGAAATCGGTTGCTCCCTTTGAGAGTAATCGTTCGTACTTATAAATCGACTCCAAATTGTCTGACACGGATTTGGTCCAAAGAAACACGATGTCTTTAACCAATATTTCGATGAGGCACATTTTTGCCGAATCAAAGAGTGTATATACCCACATTAGCCATAAGGCTGAGGGTATAAAAAAGTTAAGTGTTTTGGAAACTTCCATCTCTGTTATGAACACATGTTAAATTTTGTTTCGATCTGGCAACTGCTTCATATAGAAACAGGTGTTTAAAAAAAGACGCATCCGTATTTTTTTACAATGAAAGCACGCATTTCTAATTTTTTCATTGTAAACAATTTTTCTGTTTATACCGCGCATTTGGGCTAGACTAAGAGCTTTCCAAACTGCCCTCGTATGTGCATAATTTTGCATCAAATGGCAGACAGACAGGCGGACATTTGTAAATCAACTCTAAACCCAAAATTTTGATGTGACACATTTTTGTAGTAGCAATATATACCCTCATTAGCCATAAGGTTAAGGTTTTTCTTTGCATCGCTTTTATGATTATTTCCCATTGTGCAAACGTCGTAGGCCTTTTCCTCGCTGCAATGCCAGAGCGGACAGCATAACTTTTGCTATGAATATTTGAATAAATGCAGTTTTTTTCTACATGTATTTGTAACTGCAGCAGTTACATATTCGATTTCGTGTAACTTCGTCTATTTGAAGAAAACACATTCATACACACACATACTTACAAATCATGTTCACACAGTGAAGTCCAGATGCAAATGCATTTATTGTCATCACAATT